GGTTCAGCACCTGAATTATGTACTGGCAAAGAGCTATAACATTTCTTATGCCTGAGCAGTCGAGGACCCAAATCTGGCCCAATAGACTTGATTTACAAAAATGTGTTCATGGCTGCCTTCTTTTACTGGTGCAGTGAATCACAGAAATTGTCAGCCAGCATCATGAGGGGGCCCAGACAGCTGGGATTAGTATTGCAAGGCTCTCTTCATATTCTTCATATTCTTCATATTCCAGTAATAAATAAACAGTTGTTTGAGCAACTTGTAGCACTGAGCTTGGAGTAATTATGAGCAACCTTATTCTATATGTCCCACAGAGTATAAACATATTTTTATTAATTTCATTTTCCTGGTGGGAAAAGTTGAAATATGGGCAAAGCATGTCTACTAAACTAGAATCCTTAATTTTATTCCTGTACAATTAATATGTCCTACTGTTGTTAAAAAGAAAATAATCATATTATTTAAGGAACAGAAGAGTGCTTGTGCTGACTCTTCTCAGCACACTGCATCTTTGCTGGTTGTGTTCAAAATGCATATGGGTAAAATTACATCGAGGACATTTATTTCTTTATTAAAGGGTTTCTTTTTTCTCTTGCTGTTCTCAACCCATATTAATTTAATGTACTTGCTGTTAGTCAGACATCACTGTAAATGCTCCCCTTTGCACATTCGCATTGCTGTGGCATCCATAAGCTGTAAGGACCTTGACCTTTTGCTGGCAAAGTTTATCCACTTCACCCTGTGCTATTTTCCAGGCTGGTTAAAGCATCTTTTTATTGCTTGTCAGAACCTCCTCCTTGCAAACCCTTCAGCTGTCAGCATGCACAAGGGCAGCTCATGCCTCCCTGGTGAGGCTGATGGGGACAATGGATGGGGACAGTGCCCGGCGCTGGGATTTGGGTCCTTTCCTCCCTTTGCCACCCACAGGTCCCTGAAATAGGATCAGCCTTGCTGGAGTGCCCTGAGAGCAGAGTCAGGGCAGGTTTGATGTGAGAGCAGGGCTGGGGGAGCAGGCTGGCTCCAGGAGCAGCCAGAGCTCCATCCTGGCCAGAACCCCCCTCCTCTGATGCCATTCTTCTTCCTCAAGTCCTCCAGGACAAAGCTGTGAATTACCTTGCTCTGCTCTGCAGGGATCTGCAGCCGGCACAGCTCAAGTGATATTTAAATATTTATTTGTCATTTCCAGAGCATTATCAGAGGCTGACTGGCAGGTTCTGCCTTTGTCACTTGTGTGTGTGTGTCAGGAGCGATGCATGGCTGGGATGTGAAGGTCACATTGCAGCAGGGACTGCTCATCCCTCTTTGTTTGCTCCTCCTGTGCCAGCTGGAGGTGCAGGAGCCTGGGAAGCTGCTGGTGCCATCTGTGGCATGGCCAGGGGCAGGGGGTGATGCCAGCCCTGCTCCTGTTCTGCTCACATGGGGATCAGGGATCTCTGACAGCCCCACAATTCCGGAGGGAGCCCCTGAGCAGGCTCTGAGCTGCAGTGGGTGCACTTGGGCACAGAAATCAGCTCTGCCCCTGCTCTTTGTCATGGGAAGTATTTACAGTGGTTTTGGGGAGCAGGGAATTCTTATTGTTTAAACTCAGCCTGAAACCACGACACCTTTCCTTTCCCCTTTCCCTTTCCCTTCCCAGGTGGGAACACCTGGAACAGAAGTCTTTAAGTCACAATTTTTCCTTCATGTTGTAGAAAAGTCTTGGGCTAAATACTGGATAATCTTCCCTGGGGAATTGCAGGATCCCTGCAGGAATATTGGGTTGGAGGTGCAGGGGGATCCTGGGGATTCAGGGAGGAGTGGGAGGTGTCCCTGCCCATGGAAGGAGGGTTGCAATGAGATGATTTTAAGGTCTGTTTCAGCCATTCTGTGATTCCATGATTGTCTGACAGCCCCACAATTCTGGAGGGAGCCCCTGAGCAGGCTCTGAGCTGCAGTGGGTGCACTTGGGCACAGAAATCAGCTCTGCCCCTGCTCTTTGTCGTGGGAAATATTTACAGTGGTTTTGGGGAGCAGGGAATTCTTATTGTTTAAACTCAGCCTGAAACCACAAGAGCTGCTATAAATTGGCTGGTTCTAATAAAACCAGTGCTGTAAATCAGCTGATTGATACTTGTATAAATCTTGTATTTTTTTTCCCCCAAGTTTTTCTACACTTTTCACTGGAAATGTTTTTGATATAAACCCTTCAATCTCACAGCTTTTTTTGCCTGTCCTCTGTCCATACAGTCCACTAATAACTTCAGCCCCACAGACCTTCTCTCCAGGAAATGCCATTAAGATTTTCTTTTAGCAAAAGTGAGCAGCCCCTCAGAAATCTCAGAAATCCTTTATCAGGCCTGCTTTTTCCTGTTGTGGTTTTCCTCTTGCCTTTTTCTTTCTTTCTTTCTTTTTTTTTTTTTCCCATGGATAGCTGTAATTTAAAGCTTACAAGATAGATAAGTCCAAGCTGCACAGCATAAATGGGAGAAGCAGACAAACAACTAGTAAAGATAGGAGACAGCTGATGGAAATGAATTCAGCTATAAAGCATTTGAGTTACTGTTCTCTGCTGTGATTTCTGAGAGAGATTAAAAAATGGGAGGAGGGAGAGATACAAATCATCATTTCCTCCTCCCTCAGAATCTCAGGTTGAAACAGTGCTGAATTTCTTCTTTTTCTTCCTATGTCTATAAACAAACAGGAGATTTTTTTTTTTAATTTGGAGGAGTGTGATGGTGTTCACAGGGGTCTCAGGTTGAGGGAAGAGATGAGGATCTGACTCCATGTTTCAGAAGGCTTGATTTATTATTTTATGATATATATTACATTAAAACTATACTAAAAGAATAGAAGAAAAGGTTTCATTTCAGAAGGCTAGCTAAGAATAGAATAGAAAGGAAAAGAATGATAACAAAGGTTTGTGGCTTGGGCTGAGAGTTTGAGCCAGCTGACTGTGATTGGCCATTAATTACAAACATCTACATGAGACCAATCCCAGATGCACCTGTTGCATTCCACAGCAGCAGATAACCATTGTTTACATTTTTTCCCTGAGGCTTCTCAGGAAGAAAAAATCCTAAGGAAAGGATTTTCATGACAAGATGTCTGTGACAGGGGAGAGCTTTTAATCAATTGCAGGAGAATTGGCTTAATCCAGAGCTAACAGAGGGCAGGAAGTCTGGCCCTGATGTAATAACAGCATCTTGTCCTGAACCCCCTGAATCCAGGCCTGTAACAAACTGAAACCCTGAAAATGGCCTCTGTCCTGCCCTGCTTGGTGGCAGAAGGATTTTTCCACTCTGTTTTTCGGCCCTGGTGATTCTGCACGGGGCTGGGTTGGGGTTTGCTCTCTTTTCCAGCCCAGGCATGTCTCGCGAAGCTTGGGCCAGGCTGGCAGGGCTGGGTTGGGCCGTGCCCAGCTGGCACAGGCTGTGCCTGGCGAGATTTGCATTTGGCATTACAAATTGCAGTCACATTGCTCTGGGGAGGTGCAGTGCCAGCAGCAGAGCAAACATTGCTGGGCTGAAGCCTCAATAGGAGTCAAGAAGGATTAAGGTGCAGCTGAAAGTAGAGCTGCGGTTCCTAAATCACCACGGAGCTTTAGAAAATGTTTTCTGTTCGCACCAAAACCGTAATTTATTGACAGAGGGGTCAAACTGTAAAATATGTGTGCTAGTGGGTTGTGTTTCAGTGAAACTGCAAACTTGTATTGATGGGGAGATTCTTACATATGTTCCCTGTGTGCCCATGGCCACAGAAGCTCCCTGGAAAGCGAAAGCTGTGTGTGGCAATAAGCACTGACATTTTATGTGTTTGCATCTGTGTGTGCTGAGGTTGGCTCTGCTTACCCCAAAAGATCAGGGGCACTTTGCAATATGGATTTGAAACACTCTGGGAAAGGAAATCCAGGTGCACGTGGGCACTTTGGGAGAGGGATTGGCCCTGTCCATGGGGAAATAAATAACTCTGTCTGCACCTGGTGAGATGAGAGCAGATAAAGAGATTATCAAGCAGTGACAAGAAATAAAATAGGTTAGATGAATTCCTCTTTATCACTGCTTCTCCCTCAAGACTCTCTGAATATCTTGTCATTCACACGGAGAGGCTGGAAGGAAAATCACTTTTAGAGGTGACCCAGAGAGGTAAAACCAGACCAAAATGGTGCTTGTGTGCTCCTTCTGCCCACAGGGATTGGTGTGGTGCTTGCACTGTGTGAGCTGTAATATTTGGGAGAGCAGGAAAAGTGGGATTAGAGCTCCAAAATAGTTTCCAGGCTTTTGCTGCTCCCAGCACCCTGTGACCCAGCTCTAGGTGGGAATATCGAGGTCAATGGCAGAGATGAGTCCTGTCCTTGTATTAAAATACAGAATTGCAGCTTTTGGTCAATGTGTTTAAAACAGGTGGAATGTATTGGAACAAACCCCAAACAAACAGTTAAGGGATCTGTTTCCTCTTGGATGCACTTTTCTCCCACGAGCTGTTTTTATTTCTTTTCCTTTAAAGGAAAGTGACTCTTGAAAATCCCTTTGAAACGTGTTTCATGTTAGGAGAGCAACAATGTAGGTGGTGATTGATAAGATTTATTGTTTCTGGGTTCGTGTTATCTTGTGATTCTGAGGAAAGCTGAATCTTATCTGTTTGGTGCTGTATAAACACCTAACAGGCTTCCGAGAGCTTGTAATGTAAGCAGACAAGAAAGGCAAAGGCAGAGAGGGGAAATGTGCAGAAAAGTGTCTTGTTCCAAGGCCACAAACCAGGTTTAGAATAAAAATCAGATCTTCTCACTTCAGCCCATTTTTTCCTCTATTCCATGGGGAATGTTGCTTCTGTTATTCAAATATGGAAAAACCTCTCCTTTTCCAGGTAAATGAAGGGCAAGGGGAATGAGATCAGACAGAAACTCAGCATACAGGGAAAAAAATAAAGCAAAGGAATTGTACTGATAAAGGTGCTGGTTTTAGATAAATTGAACATATGACATGCCATTACACAACTCACAACTCTTTCTTTATTTCTAGATGCAGTAAAGTGGGGAGAAGGATTCATATGTAGAACTACAGCCTGACCATGCACTGATGAGGAAACAGCCCCATGTACTGGTTAGAAATGCATGTTTTTCTTTTTAACACAATATTTTTCTTTTCAATTAAATGTTTTGGATGTCGATTTGATTTGCCTCACTGTCTGAATGATGACAGTTAAAGTCATTTAAATAATTTTGGGCCTGTTTGATACCATTTCTGTCTGGAAAAAGCTCTTTATAAAAACACAAATGTGTGTGTGTATGTGTTTGTGCAGGTAGGCAGGCTCTGGAATGCTTCCCTGTGATTTTAATTCCCTGGAGGGTGTGGACATGCTTTCAGAGCCTGACAGCTCCCAGGTCAGATGGAGCTTGTTTGTCTTCTCTTTTTGCAGCTCAAGCAAACATTCATTTGTTATTGTGTGTGGAGCTGAGCCCCAAGCCAGGCTTTATCCTGTTGTACCAACTAATTGGTGAGGAAATTGTGATTTTACATTTAAAAAAAACCCCCTCAGCTCTGCAGAAAAAGGTGCTGTGGTCATTCTACCCTGATTATTTCAAGGTCAGTGTCCCATTCTGCTCTCCAGGGCAGGGAAGGGCTGGATGGATTTCCTTGGATTTCCTAAAAGTTGAAGAGAAATAGCGGAAGAGCAGGGGCTTGACGGTGGCACTGCCAGCAACTGTTCACAGGGAAAAAAGCCTTTGGAGCCCTGGGGTTATTTATGGCTTGGGCTTCTCCAGGACAGTTTGTTTCCATGGGATTTCAGTGCCCATGGGCCCTTCCTGTAGGGAGATGTGCCTGGAGGAAATAATCACACTGGCAAGGGGGTTCTGTCTGTTTATTTAACTATTTTTAAATCCTATTCAGAAAGAAAAGAAAAAAAAAAAACACAAACAAAAAATCCTGTAATTCTGTTTTCTTTCTGTTTGTGGCTGCTGAAAAGGGAGCCTTGGCTACCAATATGTGCATTTCCCATGGACTTTCATTAACAGGAGCTTCAAGGTCAAAGCTTCGCCTATAATGGGAATTATTTACACCATAACTTCCTTTTGAGCTGCCAGTTTTTAGGATTTTGTGTTCTGCTCTCTGGCCTTTACTGTAGAGAGCAGGTTTCTTACATATCTGCTGCTGAATATAATTTTGTGAACTTTGGTGGGCTGTAAAAATCAGAATGATAAAGTTATTGACAAAATGTAGTTTGTCTGAATAGCATTTAAAAGGTTTTAGGATTATTATTTTTTTCAAATTCTTTTTATATACCCACTGATAAATGGATTTTTCCATTACAACCAGCAATTGTTCCAAGTAGAAAATAATTTACTAATTTCCCATTAACGCCAGCTAATCAGGCAGGCAGTGGGATCCAGCCGCTGTGCAAGTCCAGATCTCCATAAAATCTGGTTATATTTTCATTTATCTCATTGTGGGAGCAGCTCTGGCCTGAAAAGCTGACTTCCTTGTGTACTTGTGAGTTAGCTGATAAACTTTCCCTCTTTCAAGCCCATCCAGCTGGAAAGGCCACCATGAAAAGCTGACTGGATTTTGGGTATGAATGAAAAAGAAGAAAGATTTACTCTGTTTTTCTTAGTGGACAATCTTTGTTGTTTCTTCTTGCACACCTCCAGAACCTTCTACCTTTTATCCCTCAAACCTTCTCCTGAGGATTTATTCTGTTTTTCTTGGTGGATAACCTTTGTTTTTCTTCTTGCACATCTCCAAAACCTTCTCCCACCTTTTATCCCCCAAACCTTCTCTCTGATTGATTTATTCTGTTTTCTTGAGGGCCAATCTTTGTTGTTTCTTCTTGCACACCTCCAGAACCTCCTGCCACCTTTTATCCCCCAAACCTTCTCCTGAAGGATTTATTCTGTTTTTCTTAGTGGACAATCTTTGTTTCTTCTTGGACACCTCCAAAACCTTCTCCTACCTTTTATCCCTAAAATGTTCCCCTGAAGGATTTATTCTGTTTACTTGAGGGTCCGTCTCTGTTGTTTCTTCTTGCACATCTTCAGAACCTTCTCCCACCTTTTATCCCCCAAACCTTCTCTCTGATTGATTTATCCTGTTTTCTTGAGGGCCAGTCTGTGTTGTTTCTTCTTGCACATCTTCAGAAGCTTCTGCGTTTTATCCCTCCAACCTTCTCCTCAAGGATTTATTCTGTTTTTTTAGTGGACAATCTTTGTTTCTTCTTGCACACCTCCAGAACCTTCTGCCACCTTTTGTCCCCAAACCTTCTCTCTTGGAGGGTGTCCCATGAGCTGTTCCATTTCCAGGGAGGAACTCTGGCCATGCAGGCACAGCATTCCAGGTGCAGACTTGAGCAGCTCCCTGCATGGAATCACAGAATCACTGAGGTTGGAAAAGACCTTTAGGGCCATCAGATCTGACTGAGTGCTGCAGCGCTGCTGAGGCCACTGCTCACCCATGTCCCCATGTCCCCAAGTGCCACATCCATGTGGTTTTTGAATACCAAGGGTGTCCCAAAGTGCTGCAGCCCTTAGAGCTGGGGCCTGGCTGTGCCTGCAGTGTGGGTGTTTGGAATTTGAGTGTTTTTTCCCTTTGCATCCTAACTCCAAGCACCATTTCTGTGTTTTTGTGCCGTTTCCTCTCTGTCTGAACCCATTTCCCAGGGCAGGGATCAGCCCCGTGACCTCCTTGCCCTGGGTGACCAGAGAATGAACCCAGAGCCATTCAGATGGGGCTCCAGACTGGATTAATCCGTGCTGCCCCACAAATAACTGCATTTACTCACACAGGGGCTTTTTATTTAAATGCATTTCTCCTCTTTGTCAGAGAGAGGAATCGTAATTAAGATTTCATTGTGTGATGAACTCCCTATATTTAGAGCGTTATTGGTGAATCTTTTCCTTTCTGAAACCTTTTAAAATCTGAATCTGAAACATTTTAAGAGATATTTGGCAGTGAGAAAGTTGGTAATCGTTCATTTTCATTTAAAATTCAGGGCATGGTATGTGAAGCTGTGTTTATGAGGAGGGTACATGGTCCTGTCATTTTCTACTTGCTTAAAAGCTGCATAAGTGGTTGAGGAAGCTCCCAACCTGAGGAGAAGAAAGGGCTCATTAAAAAGATTAGCTCATAGAGAACAAATTAAACTTCAGTGCCCTGCATAAAGATTATAATAACTGTAATAATAAATGAATTAATAATGCATTAAAGGAGAATTCCTCCAGTCAGCTTGTCACACACTTATCCTTGAAAATTGACTTCAGCGAGGTGTGTCACATGAGCTAATGGCCTTAACTGATGGATTTGGGATTTTTCCACACTCCAAAATCCACTCAAACCCATATTTCTGAATTTTTGACAGTTAGTTTGATAGATAGCCATGCAGTAAGCTGGGCCATGTGGTGCTGTAGCTGGGGAGGAAGCTCTGGTTTTAACCTCAGGTCATCAGAACTGGGAAATCCTGAACTCTTGGAAGGGGAAAATTTGGCAATCCAGGGCTGGGGGCTGCACATCTGCACCAGAGGTGAACATCTGGGGCTGATGTGGGATGCAGAATTTAGATGGAACTGACAAAGAGTAGGTTTAAATCAAATATTTGGAATTAATTCCTCCCTGTGAGGATGCTGAGGCCCTGGCACAGGTGCCCAGAGCAGCTGTGGCTGCCCCTGGATCCCTGGCAGTGCCCAAGGCCAGGCTGGACACTGGGGCTGGAGCACCTGGGACAGTGGGAGGTGTCCCTGCCATGGCAGGGGTGGCACTGGATGGGATTTAGGGTCCCTTCCAGCCCAAACCAGTCTGGGATTCCACCTGGGGAGCTTCCATAAATCTGAAGGGTTTGTTTCCACTGCAATAAATATGAGATCATCAGGGTTTAGGAATTAGTTACCAAATTCAGCACTGAAATAAGAGGCATCCAGAGGGGTTTAGTTGAGGAATTGGGGGTGCTGAGGCATCTCCAGACAGCAGCGAAGTGAGAGTTTGGGGATTTCTGCAGTCTCCCCTGGGTAAGGGCTGAGTTTCTGATGGTTATTACACCGGGGAAAAATTGAATTAGGGGAATTGATTATCCAGACATAGTAAGGTTGTAAAATGCATCTTTAGGCACCTGGGTACCTTTAAAATTAATCCATTATTCACTCCTGAAACCCAAACCTGCTCCTCCAAATCCAGGCACTGCTGAAGATGGAGTTCACATGAGCCATGAGGTGGTTAATTTTCAGAATCTTGAAATAACTGAGGCTGGAAGGGACTTGGGGAGGTTCAAAGAGGAATCTGTGGGTTCCAGAAATTACAGGGAACACTTTCCCTGTTCCTACAAAATCATGGAATGGTTTGGGTTTGAAGGGACCTCAAAGATCATCTCATTGGCATTTTCCACCAGCCCAGGTTGCTCAGTTTATGATGATTGTGTCACACTGGTGTTTCTCTGTGTCCTCAGTTACACTGCAAACTGGTATTTGTAGGGGTTGATTCAACACTGAGCTTTGCCTATGAAAGACATGAAAGCAAATTCCTCCTGGGATGCTTTTTAGTTTTAATTTGAAAATAATTGAAAATGCATCTCTAGCGTTTTGTTGCTTTTATTGGAAGGGTATTTTTTAATAAAAATCTCATTCAGCATAAAAAGGACAACATCAATGGGGTTCTTATCAGTGCTTTGCATCATGTTAATACCAGAGCCAGCAGTGAGGTGTGCAGGTATTATACCAGAACAAAGGAAATGATTCCAGGGATTTTATCAGAGAATATTTTGAGTTTGCTTGTCAAGCCCTGCAATATGTGCTCTGCTTTGTTTGCTGGCTGAGCAGTGGCTGGAGTTTGCACAGGGATTCTTTTCTCTCCTTGCACTGGTTTGCTTTGGCACATCATTGGATCCACACTGGGAAAATAGTGAGATATCAAATAAAATAGTGAGATGTCCATTAATGCTGGAGCTGTTACAGCTCAGAGCAGAGTTGCCTTTGCACATTTAAAGTGGTCACTTGGGGTGCTGCAAGTGCAATCCCTTTTACTAGGAAAATTAATCCACAAGCGTCAGAGGGTTGTGTCCAAAAAGGAGACAGAGGAGTCCTTTGGCTTTATTTGAATAAAGGGAAAGGCCATGGGACACA